TTTAGGGTTTGTGGATGCAGAAACTGACTGCACTGAAGCAGCAGACGGTGCAGACGCAGAAGGCGAAAGTTCGTATCCTTAGGGTAGGCCCTAAACCCTAAACCCTAAACCCTAAACCCTAAGCGCTAAACCCTAAACCCTAATGCTAGGCTTTAGTGGACTACTGATTGTGAGGGTTTAGGGTTTAGGGTTTAGGGTTTGGGGTTTGGGATTTTCGTTTCAGAACGAGCACAAGCTCTCAAAGGCGCTGAACGACTTCTACGAGAAAGAGCAAATAGTAAAGTAGGGTTTAGGGTTTAGGGTTTAGGGTTTAGGGTTTAGGGTTTAGGGTTTAGGGTTTAGGGTTTGTCGATCAGGGTTTAGGATTTGGGGTTTCATTCTCTGCTTTTCAGCCCAAACTCAGTTTCGCTTTGACCAACTGAACGCCCCAGTCCCTAAACCCCAAACCCTAAACCCTAAACCCCAAACCCTAAACCCTAAACCCCAAACCCTAAACCCTAAACCCTGGTGCCTGTGAGCTGTAACTTCAGAATTCAAGCGGAGGGTTTTCTTGCGAATCGGTTTATGCTGGCAGCATCTCACGTCAGCAGGGTGAGCGAGGGTTTAGGGTTTAGGGTTTAGGGTTTAGGGTTTAGGGTTTAGGGTTTAGGGTTTAGTGCCCGCGAACCTCCAACCGCAGCAGCAGCAGCAGCAGCAGCAGCAGCAGCAGCAGCAGCAGATCCCGAACAAACAAGCCTCCACTTCTCACTTCTAGCCCGCGAATTAATTAATTAATTAATTTTATTTATTTATTTATTTATCTATTTATTTATTTATTATTTATTTATTTATTTATTTATTTATTTATTTATTTATTTTTTATTTTAGGCCTTATCAGTTTCAGCAGATTTGTCTTCTTCTTTGTCTCCTTTTTGTCTTCCCCTTTTTCGCTCTTTGGAAAAACTCAAATCCACTTTCTACTTGAAGAAGCAAATGCCCTATTCAGGTTTGCTGCTGCTGCTGCTGCTGCTGCTGCTGCTGCTGCTGCTGCTGCTGCTGCTGCTGCTGCTGCTGCTAGTTCTGCTGCTGCTGCTGCTGCTAGTTGTGCTGCTGCTGCTAGTTATGCTGATGCTGCTGGTGCTGCTAGTTCCACTGCTGCTGCTAGCTGTGCTGCTGCTGCTGCTGCTGCTGCTAGTTCTGCTGCTGGTGCTGTAGTTTGCTGCTACTCCTACTAGTTGTGCTGCTGCTGCTGCTGTTAGTTCTGCTGCTGCTGCTGCTAGTTCTGCTGCTGCCAGGTTTGCGGCTGCTGTTGCTGGGCCCGCTGCTGCTGCTGCTGCTGCTGGTTCCACTTCTGTTGCTGTTGTTGGCTGTTCTGGTGCTTCTGCTGCTGGTGTTGTTCCTGCTGCTGCTGCTGCCAGTTTTGCTGCTGCTGCTGCTGCTGCTGCTGCTGCCGTGATTTCGGCTGCTGCGGCTGCGGCAGTCGCTGCAGCAGCTGCTGCTGTAGGCAGTTCCCGCTGCAGCTCCAGCCGTTGCCGCACCCCGCCACTGCAGCCGCTGCTGCTGCTGCTGCTGCTGCTGCCACTGCTGCTGCTGCTGCTGCTGCTGCTGCTGCTCAGGCCTGCAGAAAGGCGAGTCTTCAGTCCCTTTGCTGCCTTCTTCTTCTTCCACTTTTGGAGATAAAGACACAGGGGGGGCCCCCCAGGGTTTGGGGGCCCCCTGGCGATTAGCAAGGACTTCTAGTGATCTTAGCAGCGACACAGCAGCAGCAGCAGCAGCAGCAGCAGCAGCAGCAGCAGCAGGGTCTCCGGAGGCCTCGAGGGGCCCCCCAGACGCTGCAGAGGGGCCCCTGCTGCTGTCCCTGGAGTCGCTGCCAGAGCCCAGCCAGCTGCTGCCGCAGCAGCAGCTGCCGCAGCAGCAGCTGCTGCAGCAGCAGCAGCAGATGCTGCAGGCTCGTCGCCAGCGGGCAGGGGGGCCCCCAGGGGGCCCCCTGGGGTCTTCTTTAGGGGCCACCCCACTGCACATGGCTTCCTCAGCCCCTGACTTGCAGCAGCAGCAGCAGCAGCAGCAGCAGCAGCAGCAGCAGCAGCGGCAGCAGCAGCAGCCGCAGCCGCAGCTTTCACTGGGGGGCCCCTCAAGAGCAGCAGGCCGCCTCAAAGCTTCTCTCAGTTCTTCACTTTCTAGGGTCACTTCTGTTTTGAAAAAGGGACATAATGCTGACAGCAGCAGCAGCAGCAACAACCAGCAGCAGCAGCAGCAGCAGCAGCAGCAGGACTGGAGAAGCGGGGGAAGGCGGTTCCAGTGGAGCCCCTCGCACCCGCAGCTGCCGCACCTGCAGCAGCAGCAGCAGCAGCAGCAGCAGCAGCAGCAGCAGCAGCACAGGCCCTACAGGTCCCAGCCCTCAGACCTCCTCAGCGACCTCCCTGTGCCGCTGCACCCGCAGCAGCAGCAGCAGCAGCAGCAGCAGCAGCAGCAGCAGCAGCAGGCGAGCCGGCAGCAGGGAGAAGCAAGCGAAATGTCTTCT